AGTTCAAATCCGACCTCAGACCAAACACTTGACATGTACTAGCTGTGTGACCCTGGGCAAGTCACTTAACTCCAATTGCCTAAAATAAATAAACAAATAAATAAACAAAGAAACAAATCATAAAAATGGTTAAATAAATAGTTGAATAAATAAATAGATAAGCAAACAAAGAAATAAATAAGTTAATACAGTGAGATTTCAACTGAAAATAGTTGAATGTTAGTGAGGAAGGCAGCTACTTTTACTTTGTGTTTCTTTTCATTCACACTCGAAACTAGCGTGATATAACATTTATGCTAATGATAACTAATGTTTATGCACAGCTATATTAACAACTTGATTACCTTCTGCAAAAGTGTCTAGTTTCTTTCTTCATTCATTACCTGCACAGGAGGAAAAGCTTCCTAGGCCACAGGGCAATACCCTAAGTATCAGGGGTCATATGGGCCCCTTGCTGTCCCTTGAGCACAACACTCTATATTCCAACTCCAGGTATTTGCCCTGGCCATCCCCCATGTCCGTAATGCTGTCCCTCCTTATCTCAGTGCACAGGCTTTCCTGGCTTCCTTCAATCCCAAGTAAAATCTCACCTTCCCCATGAAGCCTTTCTTAACCTCTCTTAATTCTAGTGCTCTATTATCTCCAATTAATCCTGTATATACTCTACATATACACTACTGTCTCTCCCATGAGATTATGAGCTCCTTGAAAGCTGAGACTATTTGGGGTTGGCTTGTTTATTTGTTTCTTTGGGGACTGACCTTTCTTTGCATATCCAGTGCCTGGAACACAATACATAAATATTTAATTAATGTTGTTGACTAACTGACCATTTGCACATTTAGAAATGGCAACTTATGACAGTTCAAAGAAACATGCCCAAGAAAAAACACGCTCTGGAATGGTATTCATACATATTTAAACATGTAGAGGACAACAAACATCACAGAGTTGATTATAATTTACATGATTATCAAAATGTCTTAAATGTCAAAAATATGAATTTTAAAAGCCATCATGTGGGCTTTTGTGATGGTGGACAATGACGATGATTGAGAAAAAAGTACCCAGATGCCTGAGTCATGAGAAAGTTTTTATTTCAGAATTGCAGATGGCTGTGGACATTGTTCTTTCAGGAGGTGAAAGTCAACCCCTGGGAAAAGACAAGTGTGATGGATTCTTCGGACAATTCCAACTCTTGTGTAAGGGAGACCTTCAGTCCACAGGAAGAGGAAGGAAGGAAGCAGCAGCACCCAAAAGTGAAAAGTAAGGTCATAAAGTGCCATCCTCCCCACTCAAGCATGACTGCCTGAAGAGCTCTTCAATTCAATCCAATTCATTTCAACAAATTTGTTGACTATGTCCTGGATGCAAAAAACCATGCTAGGTACTATGGAAGATGCAGAGAGGGATAAGAAACACTTCTTGTTCTCATGGAATTTTACAATTCAACAATGAATAAATGAAATCATATTTTTTAAGCTTACTATGTACCAAGCAGTGAGCTGAGTGCTAGGGATACACATACAATATCAAAGACAGTCCTTGTCCTCAAGGAACTTACATATTATCAGACCAAGACAGCATGTTAAGAGGAGTGCTGGTCAAAAGAGTATTTTGGTTTGGAAATGATCACCACAATAACTAGTACTTATATAATGCTGTAAGTATTATCTTATTTAATCCTCACAACCTTGCCAGTTCATTATCCCCATCTTAGAGACGAAGGGCTGAAGGGGTAAGTGACTTGCCAAGGACTCACATAGTTATCTGAGGCATGATTGGAACTCAGGTCTTCCAAGTCCAGCATTCTATCCACTATGCCACCTAACTGTCAAATTTAAAGAGGGTAGTTAAATGAATTCCTGAGTGTAGATTGACACACACTTCACAGAAATAATGGCAGTAAGAATTTGACTATGGTTTCCTGAACTAGAAAGTCAGTGGGTTAAAGGGTAGCAGAGAGAACACTCAAGGTTATGTTCTCTCAGCCATGGTCTCAGGTCTTGGTGGCAAAATAACTGAAAGGAAGACAGGAGCAAAGTAGGAAGAAAAACTAAGACAGAAAACAAATAACCATAACAGATAAAACCAAGTATGGTCAATACATATAGTAATGGATAGATATAGATAAAGAGATATATTAATAGATAAAACAAAACATAGTCCACCACACCACTTCCCAGATATCTCTATCCTTTCTAGGATCTGCCTTAATCCAGAACTGAAGGTCCCACCCCTGTGGTTCTGGATTCTGATTGGCAAGGTCCTAGCCTGGCCCAGTCTCAGGTTCATGGCCATCTTCATACCTTTTGGTAATGGATATACTCCTACCCCCTTCTCACGAGCATTTCCATTCTACCTCTAGAACAGCAATTAAGTGGATGCTACCATTTCTGGGAAGGACACATCAATCAACTTCCCCTTTCTCCAATCATCATTCTCTCTTGACTTCATACTCCAAAACACTGCTCTCCGGCTATTTCTCTAACTTGTCTTCGCACGTTAGAATATAAGTTCCTTCAAAGCAGGAACTGTCTTCTTTTTATGTATTTAGCCCCAGTACAGAGCCTGGCACAGCACATGATTGATGAATGCTTTTTTCATTCATTTATTCATTCGCTTATAAAAACATAATTTATAGCATATTATAAGTGTCAGAAGAGAGGTACAAAGAAAGTACTTTGTGGGCTACTTATATCACCTGCAAGTTCTATTTCTATTTTCAGGAATTCTAAAATTCCAGTATTTGACCACTACTATTGGTCCTTCTATCTCCAGTGATGCCTTATGACCTGTAATCCTATTTGTCCTCACCATAACTTCTAAAACCTCAAACCCCAGTTCTTTTACAGGACATTTCCCTTATATTGGCTGTACTGTTCTCCCTTCCCTATATTCACCTCTTGGTGAATCAGTTTACCTCTACATAATACCTACACTCAATCCCTTGCCCTTTTGTCTGACGGACAATCACACTTGCCCAACCCACCTTGGTTACTGACATCATCATCATCTTCTTCTTCTTCTTCTTCTTCTTCTTCTTCTTCTTCTTCTTCTTCTTCTTCATCAACAACAAAATTATAGTTAACATTTATATAATGTCTAGTATGAGTTAGGCACTGTGCCAAACACTTTACAAGTATTATCTTATTTGATCCTTACAATAAACTTCACAACAATCTGAAGTGCTATAATTATCCCCATTTTACAGATGAAGAAATAAGACAAAGAGGAATTAAGTGATTTGCCCAGATTCACACAGCTAATAAGTGTCAGGAAGGTATCTTACTCTCTCTCCTATCTTCTTCAACCCCTCCTCAGCACTTATAAAAGCAGGGGCTTGACAGGCAAATGAATAAAGAGTTCTTTATTCTATCCACCCAATGCTCCATCTGGTGTTGAGCACGTATTATGTGCTCAGAGAACTGGAATGACAGAAATTGATCTGACTTATGAAGTAAATTAATGACAAAGTTAATTAATGGTGAAGTTCATTAACAGCTCCAGTTCAGTGTTGTTTTTCATTCATCTCCAAGTTATTAGAAATCATCACACAGGCACTTCTGTCTGCCTAGGATTAGTCCTACAGCTTCCAGAAAGAACAGAAGGAAGGACACTCTGAAATCTAGCTCTTATTGAAACAGTGTGTAAGGAAGGCCACATTCAATTCAATAAGTCCAAAGGGAAATCACAGATCCATACAAAAAGTTCATTTGTGAGAAGCCCCTATCCTCATGATCTAATGTGGTCCCTGTAAACTCAGAACTTTGTTTAGAGAGAGAATAATTCAGGAAGAATGTGTGAACTGTGCTGTTGGTGGGTGTTCTTACAACTTCTATCAACATCTTTCAATAACAATAAAAGCTTTATCTTTTAACATTGAAAACCTTGACCAGCTGCCTACTAGACTATGCCTAGGTTTCATTTCTCACTCTCTCTCTCTCTCTCTCTCTCTCTCTCTCACACACACACACACACACACACACACACACACACACACGATGGTTACTTCCTACCCCACCCCACTTTTGAGGCTTCTATCATTACCACTGCAACAACCAGTTCCTCCTTCTTAGTGAAAATAAAGTCCAGAATGGAATTTCCCTTTATTGGTTCCTCCACATTTTGAAAGATGAAATTATTATGAAGGCTAGTAAAAACTAATGATAATGAAACTGCTCTGTTCAGGCAGAGATTTCCATCAAATGTCCAGAGAATCAAAGTCTCCCATGACTACTTACACTTGCCTGTGGACCAAGCTTCTGACTTGTTCCTCAAATTCCTTCTTTCTGTCAAGGCACTTTCTAGAATCTACTCAGATAAGAATATCAGTTCTAGCTCTACCAAATGCCTATGCTTTTTCCTTATCCTGGTACTAGATTTCTCCTCATACATCTCCTTTGTTCAATCCTCCACTTTGTACTAAACTCTCAATTTGAATTTTCTGCAAAGTTCTTTCCCTCATCCTCCTCACTTATCTTTCTATACTTTGTCCCTTTGCCAAATTTATTTGATTTTTTGGACTTAACCACATCCAAATGACTCACAATTCTATATTTTCATGATTAATCTTTATTTTGGGCAATAGACATGCATCTCCAACTGTCTATAGGACAGCTGCACCTATAGGACACTTCCACCTATTGGAATGTCTGAATAAGCACCTCATGCTCAACATGTCCAAATCCAAGCTTCTTCTTGTTTCATCCTGACTTCATTATTTGTATCAGTGATTCTACATTCATCTGACATTCTGTGTTTCAAAATCAATATGTCATCTACCACCCAACTCCATTTCTCTTTTCTATGATACTCTTCTGTCTAGATGGCAACCAAAAACTATGTGAATCTAAATAGAAATGGAACAACCCTATAAAAGACTTTGTGATTTATTTTTTGTTTAAAATAAAATTAGTCTTTATATACAACCACTACATGATTGTTGTCTTGGTCTATCTCTTGAAGGTTTTGGTTCAGTAAGATATGGAATGGACACCATGATAAATATCTGTAATCTAGTAGGAACCACACAATTTGCCAACATGACCATTGCCATCATTGCCATGGTGAACCACACAGACCAGTCAAATCAATGCAATGTTTCCAGAAGTACATATCCTGGTGACACTGCAGATACAGGGCTAAGTCAATGGTAGTTCCAACTTTTTTCACTCATTTAAATAACAGACATTTCTTGTACCTACTATATGTGAAACATACATTGGTGTAGACACTAGACTAATAATAAATTAGACAAGATCCTTGCCATTTGAGAGTTTTTGATCTAATTGGTAATACATGTATATGTGTACTGTTAGACTAGATGGACAGTGAGATCTCTTTATAATCTAAAGTTCTCTGATTCTGGGACATTAAAAATACATCAATAAATAAGAAATATCAGAATGTAGATATGTAAGCATTCAAAATTCTCCAACATATGATCGGGGAAAACATCACATAAGGGATAAGCTTCATGGATGATATGCCTTTTGAGTTGAACCATGAATGTCTTAAGGACTGATATCAGGATGAGTAAGTATTGGTGAAGGGAATATTGCCAACGAAGGGACAAAAACGTGAAACATGCCATTTTCAGGAGATGGCAGATAGTTCAATTTGGCTAGAGTAAAGAGTGCGTAAGGGAATACTGGAGGCAGCTACATAGAATGTAGTCAGGAACTAAACATGGAGTGAGGAAGACCTGAATTTAAATCTGACCTCAGACACTATCTGTGTGCCCATAGGCCAGTCACTTAACCTCTTTCGGCCTCAGTTTCCTCATGTATAAATGAAGATAACAATAGCACCTATTTCTCAGAGCTGTTGTGAAGATGAAATGAGATAATATTTGGAATTGATCTAGCTATATGAATACCATCTATTCTATAAGGCAGAAAATGTAGTTTGGAACAAGATGCTGGACGGTCCTGAAAGGCAGGCATATTACCTATATTCAGAAGAGAATGGGGAGGCATTAAACATTTTTGAGAAATGGAAGGACATAATCAGTGCTATGTATTAGGAAGAATGACCTAGATGGAATATATTGGATGAAATGGTAGGAGAAAGGAGAAAAACTAAGGTCAGAGAGAAGAGTTAAGAGGTTATTGTAAGTCCCTGGGAAGAAGTAAAGGCCTAAAGTGGAATGCTGGCAGTACAAATAGAAAAGAGAGGGTAGAGGTAAGAAATAATGTGAGGACAGAATTGGAAGAAAATAGTATCCAATGGGAACTATGTCTGAAGGACATCAAAGAGTCAAAAATGCCAACAGAGCTATGAGAATGTCTAACTGTTTGTAACTAGGGAAATGGTCATGCTGTTGATGGAAACAGGAAAGACAAAGAGAAGCCAGGAGATTTGAAAGAGTGAGTTCCATTTAAGAAAAGTTGATCTTGAGCTGCCCCTTTGTTGTTGTTTGTCTTTCATTCTCTAAGAGGACCATGACATCAGGAGGACAATGCCATGACTTGCAAGGGAATGGGGGTTAAGTAAGGGAGGGCTGTGCAAGGTCACTAGCCTCACTTTCTCCTCTGGTGCCATCCGGGCCCAGTGGCAAGATATAAAGACAATGGGAGATGGCTCCCCCCACCAGAGAATATATGGAAATATCTAGCAGGAGCTGGGCACAATCATGGAAAGAGATGCAAACCATTGCATCACAGAACACAATGTTAACAGGTTCAGAGATGAAAAAGACCTTACAGTTCACTTTCCCCAGGGCTTCTTAGACTGAAGTACATGAATTTAGTTTTTGTACAGTATTTCAATAAATGTATTTTACCATAATTTGTTTCCTTTGAAATCATGAGAATTTTATTGTATGCATTTAAAAACACAATTTTGAGCTGTATCTAGGTTGCACAGTAGATAGAGTTCTAGCCCTGGAGTCAGGAGGCCCTGAGTTCAAATGTGGCCTCAGACACATGACACTTACTAGCTGTGTGACCCTTGGTAAGTCACTTAACCCCAACTGCCTCACTAAAGAAAAAAAGCCGAAAAAATATAAAAATACAATTTTGAGAAGGACTTCCTAGGTATTGCTAGATTGCCAAAGGGGTCCATGAAAGTAAGAAGAGGTTCGGAATTCCTAATCTAATTTAATTCCTTCCTTTTGTAAGTGAGGAAACCTAAGCCCAGACAGGTAAGTGATTTGCCTAATGGAACAAAGCCAGGGTTTGAACCCAGACCCCTTAAGTTCAAAGATGGCACTTTCTTCACCCCAGTGTAGTGTTATTTATTTAGGAGTCAACTACATAGAAGTGAGAGTAATAAGCAGACAGAATGGAATGAGCTCACCAGGGGCAAAGGGCAAGGGAGAGAGCAGAAGAGAGCTAAGTACAGACTGATCAGGAATTCCCATATGAGGTGATCAGCAGGAGAAAAGAGGATGCAGAGAAACAGAAGGTGACAAGGTGAAAGAACAAGGAGAATAATACCTTATGTCACAAGCACATATCGATTAGGGGAAGGAGGCCCTCAGACTCAGCAGTCAGGTTAAAGTATAATAGGTCCAAGGAAAAGTTACTCCATCCAGGATCATAAAGGTCCCTGGATTCTGCTCCACTCAGACCACATCTGAAGTATTGTATATGAATCAGGAAGCTTCATTTTGCCCAAGACAGGTAATGTGGAAAATGTCACCAGGAGGGCATCCAGAATGTTGAAGGAGTCAAGATGGTGCCATGTGAAGACCACCTGAAGGAACTGAAGATGTCTAGCATGGGGAAAGAGAAGACAAGTGAATGATGATAGCCATCATGAATATATGTGAAATCCTTTCATTTTGTAGAGAGATTAGACTTATTCTCTCTGGATCCAGGAAACAGAACTTAAAGCAATGGATAGAACTTACAAAAAAAAATGCATATTTAGGCTCAAGACGAGGAAACCTTTCCTACCATCCTAACAATGTTTTCTAGGGGCAGCTAGGTGGTGCAGTGGATACAGCACTGGGCCTGAAGTCACGAACACCTGAGTTCAAATTTGACCTCAGACCAAACACTTGACACTTACTGAAGTGTGACCCTGGGCAAGTCACTTAACCACAATTGCCTAAAAAAAGTGGGGTTTTTTTCTAAAAAAAAATTTCCCCTAAAGAAATTAAGACTAATAGGCTGCCACAGGAGTCTTGAAGGTGTATGTGCACGTATCTAAGTAGCATTATTACTGTTGTTGAGTTCTTTCAGTCATGTCCAACCCTTCATAACCACTTGTGTGGTTTTCTTGGAAAAGGTAATGGAGTGGCTTGCCATTTCCTTCTCCAGCTTATGAGGAAACTGAAGTAAACAAGCTTAAGTGACTTGTCCAGGGCCACACAGCTAGTAAGTGTCTGAGGTGGGATTTGAACTCAGGTCCTCCTGACTCTAGGGCAGGCACTTTGTGCATGGTGGTGCCACCTAGTGGCCCAGTAAGTAGTTTTCTACATTACTATTACTATAATTGCAGAAGGTTTTTCTTTGACTTATCCCAAGGATTTCAACAAGTGTCTAAATGTAGCTCAGTCATCTTCTTCCAACATAATATTCCATTCCCCCACCTTTGAACATTTGTTTTGACTGAAATGCATCTTTACCTCTTTGAGTCCTTAATTATTCTCAAGCCCCAATTCTAACACCACTTTCTCCATGAAGCCTTTCCTGATGATCTCCTATCATCTAGAGTCTCCCCCTCGAATTACCTTGTATGTATTTTGTATACACTTTTATACAATATGTACATATTGATCTCCCACTGCTCCTCCCACTCAACCAGGCTTACATTGTCATCCACAACGTCTCACCCAGATTTCCTCCACATGTCCAACTTGTCCCCAAGTCTCATCATTTCTATCTTCACAACATCTATTCTACACATCCCATTCTCTAGACTCATTTGGCCTTGTGCAGGTTCTCATCCTTTACACTGTGAATATTGCAATAGTGTTCTTGTGGATCTCCCTGCCTGAAGCCTTCTTTCTACTTTTCCAATTTTTCTAGAGTTTACTCACACCCTGACCCCCCATGCACTCTAAATCTAGTTATAATGGCATTCTTGCTCCTCAAACTGGCTCTCTCTCATACCTTAAATATTCTTCCTCCTAATCTCTGCCTCCTGGATTTCCTGGCTTCCTCCAAGACTCAGCTCAGAACCGAACTTTTCAAAGAGGCCTTTCCTGGCCTCTCCCCATATCCTTCCATCTATAAGTGAGTCAGTAGTGTGTAAGATAAGAAATATGTACTAAGTGCTTACTATGTGCCACCCACTTTGCTAATCACTGGGGATATAAAAAAAAGCAGCAGACAGTCTTTGATTCTAAGGAGTTCAGAGTCTAATAAGTGGGACAACATGTACAACTATATACAACCAAGCTATCTATCTATCTATCTATCTGACAAATCAGAGTAATACACAGAGAGCATTAGACTTGAGAGGAACTGGGAAAGGCTCCCTGTAGATGAGATTTTAGCTAGAACTTGAAGGAAGTCAGGAAAGCCAGAAATCAGAGATGAGGAAGGAAGAAATTTCAGGTTGTGGAAAGCCAGTGAAAATACTCAGGGTAAAAGATAGAGTGTTTTCTTCAAGGAACAGCAAGGAAGTCAGTATAACATGATCACAAATTACAAGGGGGAGTGTAAGGTATGAGAAGAGTAGAAAAGTGGGAAGTGGGGCATGTTATTAAACAGACCAAGATGTCACTTCCAGATTCCAGCCCAGTCTAAAGCCTGCAGGGAAATAATCAGGGCAGCAATTTCCAGAGCAAAGGGGAGGCTCAGGTCTGTTCCTCTGCACCAGCAGGTCTTTCCAACTAATTGATCATGGCTGAGTACAGTAGCAGTCTTATGAAACTCCAACAAAAGACAATTCCAAAGGTGTTTTGCTCAGACTCAAACCCAGGTTAGAAACATGCAGTGCTCAGATCAGGAGGTCAGAGATCAGATTTTGGTACACTGGAAGCTCTAAAAGTTTACAGGTCACCACACTGTACTGTACCCAAGGGATAGGAAAAACACAATGCTCAAGACCCCCAAGAAAGTAGCAACAGAAGGAGTCCAGACTTTCTCTACAGATGTGTATAGAGCCCAGCCCTAATATCAATTCTGAAGTCAGAAAGTAGGGGAGAATAATGAGCAAACATAGAAACCATATCCTACCATTAAAAGGTATTCTGTTGACAAGGACAAGACACAAACTGAAAAGAGAATGACTCCAAAACTTTGGCAAGCAAAGTCTCAAGGACTGATACAAATTCAATTAGAATTCTTAGAAGAGATGAAGTAAAAGTTTTTATGTTATTTTATTTTTTAATAAAAGCAGGCAGGTGGAGAGAAGGTTCTGGCAAGATGGTGAAGTAGGTCAGAAAATTTCAAGCTTTCCAGATTTCTTCCACAAAGAAGACAAAATAGTGCCTCAGGAAGAATGTAGAGCAGTAAAAATAATCAAGAGTTGGAGCAGAACAGTGGTCCTCCTGGGACAATTGGGGAAGATCCAAGGTTTGGTCTCTGCTAAGTGAATACCTCCAGGCTACTTCCACTGAAACAGCAAGCAACAATCCCTGGGGCCACCTGTGTTGGGAGGTAGCCTTGGCTCCAGCCACAGGAATTTTCACCTCCCAGACAGTGTGAGGAGTTGGGCATCTGAGCAAGGGGAAGGTTGAGGGAACCTCTGCTGGTAAGACACACCAGGCCCAGCTGTGCTGCTGAAATACACACTGGGTGAGAAGGAACCCGAACATGCACTGGTGAGTGCAGGGATGCCCCCTGGCTGTGGACACTTGCAGGAGAGAGAAGTTCTTGATTTCTGTTCCAGGCCAGAGGGGAGAACTGAAGGCAGAGACACCATCCCCCATATCCCAGGACTAGAGTTAATCACAATAACAAGATGCTATGAATTTTTAAAAAATGAATAGGCAGAGCAGAATAAACCAGCCATAGAAAGTTGCTATGTGAATAGAGAAGACCAGGGTTCATCTTCAGAGGAGGATAGTGAAGAAAAATAATCCTCTCCTACCCCAAACAATAATGTGAAATGGTCACTTGCCCAAAAATAATTCAATGAAGAAAAAAATCTTAAAAAATAAAATAGAGAGACTGAGGAAAAATTTTTTAAAATACGAACAATCGAAGAAAACACAAGATTGTGAAAGGAAATTCAACCAACTACAAAAGGAGATCCAGAATATTAAGAAAGGAAATAATTCCTTGAAAATTAGAATTGGGCAAGGGGAAGCCAGGGAAGTTAAGAGACCAAGAAATAACAAAACAACACATAAAGAATGAAAAAATAGAAGAGAAACGGAAACATCTAATAAGAAAAAACAACTACTCTGGAGAACAGATCAAGAAGAGAAAACATAACCATAATCAGACTACCTGAAAACTGCAATCAGAAAAAGAAACTTGATACAATAATACAAGATATTTCTTAAAGAAATATTAAAGAAAATTGTCCTGAAGTGTTAGAACAAGAGGGGAAAGTAGAAATAGGAAAAATCCACCAAACACCATCTGAAACAGATCCTATGAGGAAAACCTACAGGAATATCATAGCTAGATTCTGAGACTCCCAGCTCAAGGAGAAAATATTATGAGCAACAACAAAAAAAACATTCAAATATGGCAGAGCCTAAATTAGAATCACATAAGACCTAGCAGTGGCTACATTGAAAGACCTTAAATCTTGGAACACTATATATGGAAGAGAAAAGAATTGGGGTTGAGGCTGAAAATAGAATATCTAGCAGAGTCAAGCATAATCTTGAATGTAAAAAAGGGGGGGGCATTCAATGAATTGCCAGACTTTCAGGATTTTATTGCAAAAAGACCTCAACTCAATATAAAGTTTGACATACAAGACTCAAGAGAAATATAAACATCAAAGACTAATTACAATGCACTCAGTAAAAACAGACTATTTATTTTTCGTATGAGAAAATGTAATTTGTGTGTCTAAGATATGATTAATAATTGGGTAGCTCGAAAGAAATGAGGTAGAGCTGAGTGTGATGTGATACTAAAAAGTAAACCATCCAGGAAGAGATAAAAAGTGTAACTACCTTGTACAAATGAGGTGTGAGATGAAGAACTGACACAGAAGAATTAGATGGGAGAGGAGGGCTGTGAGTTCTGCAACCCTACTCTCATTGGGAATGGGTTAAACAGGGGACATTACATATATATCTGGAAGGTCATAAAAGTCTTATAAATTCAGAAAAAATAAGAGGCTAAAGGGTTAGAGAGGAGGAGAAGATAAGGGAGGGATATTAGGGTAGGGGAGAGAATAAGGAAGGATCTTTGTTGAGGGTAGGTTAAATAATAGCAGGTAGAAGTACAGTAGAGGAGTCAGGAAGGATAAGAAATAAGAGATATACGTAAGCATAAAATAAAGATAAGGAGTAGAATTTATTAGGGAAATACGCAGGGATAGTAATCATGATCTCAGACAAAGTTAAAACTAAATAGAGTTAATCAAAAGAGAAAAAATAGGGAAATTATGCCACACTAATCAATATTGTTTTAGGCTATTTAAAATAGCTAGCCAGCATAAGGTTGGAATGTTGATATGGTATAGGAAACAATGAGTTGATGGACTTAGAAAAAATGGAAAGACTTGGACTTATGAAGAAAGATGTTATCCACCCTCAGAGAAAGAAAGGACAAACAGGTATAATACAGTCCTACATACATGTATATGAATGTATATGTCTACATATGAGTATGATTGTAGATATCTAAGTATATGTATGTGAATGTAAGTATATATATACATGGATATGTATATATGTGTATATATGTGTGTGTGTATATATATATATATATATATATATATATATATATATATGTATATATATATATATACATATATATTTCTGTATGGGTGTATAAATGCATGTATGTCTATGGGTGTATACACACACACACACATATACATACACAGACACACAGGCATATCTGTGCTTAATTGTAGCCTTCTAGGGAGAGGAAGGGGAAAAAAAGAACAAAGTAAAAAGGTACACAGCAGAAAACTAAAGAAAACTTACAAGGAAGCGAAGAAAAGATGGACAGCTCTCAGCACAATGCATAGTGTTTTTTATATAGGCTTTCTTGAAATGGAAATTTATTGCTGTGTATTTTCAATCCTCTCTTATGTTCTGCTATGCACATTAAAAAAAAACAACTAGATAGGTAGCATAGTGGATAGAGTCCTAGGATTGGAGTCAGGAAGACCTGAATTTAAAACTGGCCTCAGACACACACTAGCTGTGTGATCCTGGGCAAGTCACTTAACCTCTGATTGTTTCCGATTCTTCATCTGTAAAACACACAAAAAGGCACAAAACCTTGTTGAAGAAGCAAATGCTTTGAAAATTACAATGAACTAAACAAGAGTGATAATGACTCCATGAGACAACTAAAAATATCAAAACAAAGTGAAAACATGGAAAATTGGGGGCAGGGACTTGGTGCGTATCAGAACAAGGGTAACTGAACTGGAAAAGGAATGTAATTCAAGAATTACTAGACTACCATGAAAACCCAAAAAGAGCCTAGATATATCTATTTCATGGAATCATAAAAGAAAACGGCCAGATCTCTTAGAACAAGAGTGAAAAGTAGAAATTGAAAGAATTCACCAGTCACCTCCTAAAAGATCCATAAAGAAAACTCCCCAATAAATTAAATCCAAAATCCAGAATTTCCAGGTCAATTCATCAATAAACATTAATTAAGCACCCATTACATGCTAAATCCTAAGTGTGTAAAAAAAAAAGCCACAAGACACTCCCTGTTCTCAGAGGGCTTACAATCTAACAGGGAAACAACAACAACCAAAAAAAATCTACAAATCAAGCTATGTACGGGATAAATAGGAGATAATTAACAGGGGTATGGCATTGGAGTGAAAAGAGGTTAAGGAAGGCTCCCAGGAAAGAATGGAGTTCCTTTCTTCAGCTGAATCATCAAGCATTCAAACTCTACTGCAGAGAGCACAACTCAGATGGGCTGGCTGCATTGCTGAATACCAAACATACGTTTGTCTAAAAGAACTCACACAAGGCAAGTGCTCACATGGAGATCAGAAGAAGCAATAGAAGGACCTTTTAAAAGTGTTTGAAGAACTTTGGAATTGATTGTGAGACTTAGAAGACACTAGCACAGGTCACCCCAGCAGGGCATCCCTGCATTGAAGAAAGTGCTATGCTGTATGAGCAAAACAGAATTGCAGTAGCTCAAAAGAAACATGAGGTGCACACATTTAGAAACATCTCCACTCCGAATGTTCATATGAATTATCTGTGCCCAACCTATGGCAGAGACTTCCAAGCTCATATTGGATTCATCGGCTATAGTCAGACATACCGTACCTTGACATTAACATAATGATGTCAGTTTGATCCTTTTTTAGAATTATTGTTCATTCTCAACCAAAGGAAGCCAGGGAAATCAGTAGGTTGACTTGAGGATGCCATATATTCTAGGAATGGGAGTAAATGCCCAGAGTCAAGAGATGGAGGGTTTGTAGAACAGCCAGGAGCCCAGTGCCACTGAATCAAAGAGTACTTGTCAAGGAGTAAGGTACAGCAGGCTGGTAGGGTAGGAGCCAGATAAGTGATGACAACAGAGCATTTTGTATTTGATCCTAGATGCAATAGAGGACTACTAAAGTTTATTGAGTAGAGGAGTGACATGATTCAACCTGAGATTGACGGCTGAATGGAGAATGGATTGGAGTGGGTAGAGACTTCTAGGCAGATCCACCAGCAGCTATTGTGTGAGGTAATGAGGGTCTGTGGGCATTTTCCTCAATTCAAATCTGGCCTCAGACACTTAGTAGCTGTGTGACCCTGGGCAGGTCGCTTCACCTTCTCTGCCACGGTTTCCCCATCTCTGAAATGAACTGAGGAATGAAATGGCAAACCACTCCAATATCTTTGCCAAGAAAATCCCAAATGGGGTCACAAAGAGTCAGACACAATTGAACAATAACAATAATGAGGAGGGGCTGCACCAGTGTGAGGGAAGTATCAGAGGAGAGAAGGGGGACTATATTAGGGATGCTTCAAAAGCAAAATCAACAAGCCTTGGTAACAGCTTGGATATGGGAGTGAGGAGTCCCAAAGCCCAAGGGACTAGGAGGATGGTGTTGCCTTCTATAGTAATAGAGAAGGTGGGGAGGGTAAGATAGTGTTTGGTTTTGGAGACGTTGAGATTAAGATTTCTACTGGACATCTCCAGTAGAAGAGGTCTTCTTTCATCTACATTCATCCAGACCTGGTTCCTGGCAAAATAAGGCAAAAGGATTACCTATAAGTGCTATGGATGTACCAGGCACTGTGCTTGGGGAAGGATCCAAGCTGTGTGAGCTTGGGCAAACCACTCACCCTTCTCAGCCTCAGTTTCTTCATCTGTAAAATGAAAGTTGGACTTGATGATCTTTCAGGTTCCTTTCAATTCTCAATCTGTGATCCTGGGATACCCCCCCCACACACACACACCCACACACACACACACCAATTCCAGAACTATACTCTAAGATGCTAACTGAATTGTTGATTTTCCTACAAGGTGCCCATTTTAAGAAGTCATTTCCCAGAAAAGGGAGGTGGAGTAGAAGGAGGGAAGAAGTAGTAATGGTAAAGGGGAAGAAAAGGGAGGGGGCTAATAGAAGGGAGGTGGGACTGAGGTCAAAAGCAAAACACTAGTGAGCAGGGAAAAAGAGGAAGGAGAAAGAAAAGAATAAACAGGGAAAAAAAAGAATGGAGGGAAAGACACAGATATTAGTCAATCATAACTGAGAATGCGAATGGGATGAACTATCCCATAAAATGGAAGTGGAGAGCAGAATTGATTACAATACTATCCACATCCAAAGAAAGAATTATGGAGTTTGAATGGAGATCAAAGCATACTATTTGCTATATTTTTACTCTGTTGTGTTTTGTTTCCTCTTTCTGGTCTTTCCACCCATTGGTTCTAATTCTTACTTACAACATCACTAATGAGAAAATCTGTCTAATAGGAATGTATATGTATAGCCTATATCAGATTGTGCTCTGTCTTGGGAATGGAGGTGGAGGAAAATTTAAAACTCAGAAGCTTATGGAAGTGATTGTTCATAAAAGAAAATAAATTAATATAAAAAAAGTCATTTCCCTATCTTGCAGGTACCAGTATATGACTGGAACCCAGAAATCCAGGGTCTCCTCCTCAGTGCTATGCTCTATGGCTCACTTATCACAACAGTCCCAGGTGGTTATTTTTCTGGAGTTCTTGGAGGAAAGAAAATAGCTGGATTATCATTGCTTCTCTCCTCAGTTCTCAGCCTCTTGATACCATTAGCAGCAGACTCCGGACTGCCTTACTTGTTTCTTGTAAGGATAGTACAAGGCCTGTCTCAGGTACCAGCTCACCTTCAAAGTAGGTGAGTAAGACAGATCATGCCTCAATTTCATTCACAGTTCAAAATGTCTTCTCATCTTGATTTCAGGGGATGAATTTCAGTGCTCTCGCTGCATTTTGGCCAAAATGGGCTCCACCACTGGAACGTACTCAACTAAGTACCATTGGTTTATCTGGTAAAGACCCAATTATAACAGCTGTATTACATTTCTATCCCTCCTTATCTTTCCCACTTCCATGTTGGTGTAATCAGAAAAAGAATTCTTTAAGGTAGGAACATAAATAAAATGGAATCACAGAAGTTAAGAGCTATAGAGCACATCAATCGTCATCTGGTCCAATTCATGCACAAAATGGAATGCTAGAGACACCATACTTTGGGTCCCCCTTTCTTATTTAACCTTAAATTTTGTGCAGATTTAAAATGTGAGTTATTCACACTCTCCTTAATTCCAATAGTTTGAAGAAAGCCCCAGAAACTTTAACTTCTAATGCTCTGACCCTGAACTTACTCTGAATCTTCAACTCAGGTACAACAACGGGACATTTCATTCTGGTCATTTGGGATGGTTTCCTTTGTGAGTTCCCAGGCTGGCCAAGTATCTTCTACATATTTGAGAAGTGACTTCATCTCAAATCCAACTGTTTCCATGTTTCAGGGTTTTACTCCTGGAAATCTGCATCCCTTATGATATCCAGGTAGATGCCACATTAAAAGTTCAAAAGTAATTAGGTTTAGAAAAGGCAAGAAAGAATTTTACTCAAACTTCTAATCCAATGAGGAAAATTGGAGAAAGTTGAAATAATCTTTTCGAGGTCACACAGTAAGTTAGTGGCTGAATCAATATAACTAGGTTGCCTTCACTCTTTGTCCAGTGCTCTGGCTACTAGGGCCCAGCTGGTTCTAAAAACAATATGAAAAAAATGTTAAAAACATTTTTGACCTGCCTATTTCACAAATGTACATTCAGTCAGTCAAGCAACTAATATTTATTAAGCACCCAGTATATGCCAGGCTCTGTGCTAAATGCTTGGAATATAAAGAAAGGCAAAAAATAATCCTTGCTGTCAAGGCACTAATGGTCTAATGAGGAGATGTAAACAACTATGTAAAAGCAAACTATTGATAGGATGAATTAGAAATAATCTCAGGGGGAAGGAAGTAGAATTATGAGGGATCTAAAACCTTTCCTGTAGAAAGTGGAATTTTTGCTAGGGCTAAAAGGCAGAAGCAGCTACATGGTACAGTGGCTAGAGGGCTGGGCCTGAGGTCAGGGACACTCACCTTCCTGAGTTCACATCTGGCCTCAGACACTCACTAGCTGTGTGACTCTGGGCAACTCAATCCACCCTATGTGCCTCAGTTTCCTCATCTGTAAATAAGCTGGAGAAGGAAAGAGCAAACTACTTCAGTATCTTTGCCAAGAAAACCCAAAATGGGGTCATAAACAGTTCGTCACAATTGAAAAATGACTGAACAACAGCAAAAAGAAAAGATGAGGAGGGAAAGTATTCAAAGCATGTGGGACAACCAATGCAAATGCTCAGGGTCAGGAGATGGAGTATTTTGTGTGAGTAGCAGGAAAGGAGCCAGGATAATCAGATCACGAGGATACAGGGTGGGGTGGGCAGAGAGAAGGGGTGAAGTGGTACAAAATGCAAAAAAGAGTAGAAAAGTAGGGGAGGACCAGGTTATGAAGGACATTAACAACCAAAAACAGGATTCTATATCTGAGCATGGAAATATGGAAATATTAGAATTCATTGAGTAAGGGGATAGCATAGTCACATTTGCATTTTAGGAAGAGCAATTAGACAAGCTGAGTGGTAGCTGGGCTAGAGTAGGAAAAGACTTGTGAGGAGATGACCAATCAGTAGGCTAGTGCAAGTCTGGGTGTGAGAGGACAATGGCTTACATCAGACTTGTGGCTGTTTCAGAAGAGAAGGGGGTGTAAGGAACTATTTTGTTATGTTGTTCAGAAAACATTAATTATTATAGTGTTTGAGGCTAACTTTAAGGGGCTAGAAATTGTCTAGCCCAACAGCTTACTGTACAGGTCAGACTGAACTCAGAGACACTCCTGAAAAGCTGGATGGCTTCAGGAAATACTTAGATACCACTCAGATCTTCTTTTGCATTAACCCAATTCTTGCCTTTTCGGTTCCCAAATTTAGATGTTTATGTTTATTGATATACATCTCAATGGACGTTGCATGGGAACTGTCCTGTCTGCAAAGTCGCACCACTGAATATTAGCAGTTCCTGTGCTGATATTCTTGTCTGAACTCTATAAAACATAAATCTTACAGAGACCCATAAGGGATCCACACCTTCTTCTCACTGTCTGTGTGCCAAACACCCTATTAAAATTCTTTCTAAAACAATTTCAGGCTTTGGGGTTCATTCTCATGAATAACAGGAGCATCAGGAGAGATGTAATGAAGGTAAAATTGACAGGATGTGGTAACAAATTGCATGTAGAAGGTAAGACAGAGTGAAGGATCAAGGATGACACTAGGTCTTGAGGCTGGGGGACTGGAAAGATGGTGGGACTCTCCACAGTAATAGAGAAATTAGGAAGAAAGGAAGATTTGGGGGGAAATATGATGAGTTCAGTTTTGGGTATGTGGAATTTGAAATGTCTGTAGGACTCCCAGTTCAAGATGTCCAATATGCAGTTACCAATGCAAGAGTGAAAGAGAGCAGAGGGGTCAAGACTAGATAGGGAGATTTGAGTCATTAGCCTAGAGATGATAATTGCATCCATGGAAGCTAATGAGACCACCAAGTGAAATACTATAAAGGGGAAAAGACTAGGGGTCAGGGTTAAAAGGAGGGACCTGGATGAAGATCTAGCAATGGAAACTGAAAAGGAGTGGTCAGATAGGTAAGAGGAGAAACAGAAGAAAGCAGAAGTAGTGTCACCAAAACCTGTGAAGAAAAGAATATCAAAGAAAAAAGGGTGATCACCATTGTCAAGGTCAAAGGCCAAGAAGGATGAGGATCGTAAGAAGGTCATTGTTGTTGAGTCATTTCAATCATGTCTGACTTTTTCTGACCCTATTTTGGGATTTTCTCAGCACAGATACTGGAGTGGTTTGCCATTTCCTTCTCCAGCTCATTTTATAGATGAAGAACTGAGTTAAATAGGGTTAAGTGACTTGCTCAGGATCACATAGCTAGTAAGTTTCTGAGGCTGGATTTGAATTCATGAAGATGAATCTCTAATTCCAATCCTAGTGCTTTATCCACTGTACCGCGTAGTTTCCCAAAAGGTCATTAGATTTGAACATTAAGAGATTATTAGGGCACCCAGGTGGCACAGTGGATAGAGCTCCAGCCTTGGACTCAGGAGGACCTGAGTTCACATCCAGCCTCACATACTTGATACTAGCTGTGTGACCCTAGGCAAGTCACTTAATCCCAATTCCTTCTTCAAAGAAAGGCAAAAAAAAAAGAGATTATTAGTAACTTTAGATATAGCAGTTGCAGGTGAATGATGAAGTCAGAAGCCAGATTATAGAGAGTTAAGAAGAGAGTGAGAGGAAAAGCAGCTGACACATGTAATATAGACAGTCTTCTTGAGTGTGGATGGAGAGACATGGGCATGTTTGTGGATACTAAGGAAGCAGCCAGGAGACGGGGGGAAATTGAAGAGAGTAGGGATGACAGAGAGTCAGTGTGCTAGAGAAGACAGGATGGAATGGGATCATGATGCATGTAGCATGGTTTGCTTTGGCAAGAAGACCTACTCATGTGAAAGAGGCAAGAAGAAGGAGATAGTGGCTGCAGAAGGAATCTGGATTTTATGAGATGAAGTGGAGGGAAGAGAGAGCTCTGAGTGAATGGCCTCAATTTTTATGTAAAATGTGAGGCAAGATTCTCAGATGAGGGGATGGGAAGTCAGAGAGCCATGGGTTTAAGGAGGAATGAAAGAGCGACTGTGGTAAGTAGGATAGTGAGCTGAGTAAAGAAATGTGAACGAATTGCATTGTCATAGGGACCTCCCAGACGAGGTCACATAACACAAATTTACTGATGCTATGGAATATATAAATTTTGAGTGTAACCCATCAACACAATTCCATGATTTTTCCCCCTACCTTCATTCATCGGTATGTATAAGAGTGTAAGCAGGATATGGATGAAGTGACCAAAGACTAAGGCTTTGCAGGGCAAGGTCAGTAATATGATAAGGGAACAAGGGACTCCAAAAGAGTATGTCATTGAAGTGGTTCACAATCATTTCAAGATGGGCAAAGGAGGACAGTGTAGTGTAACGATGATGGGCTGGGAAAGAGCTGGTGAGCCAAGGTGGGTCAGGGCATAGATGAAGAACAGGTTTTGGGATTGAAAAGCAGAGAGAAAGGTAGAATGACAATAGATTGCAGTCAGGTAAGGCAATGGTAGATTTCATCAACATGGAAATGATGCTGATAGCTTTTGAATCAGGTCTAGTTTATCTAACTGTAAAGAAATCCTCTCAAGGAGAGATCACTGGTGCTCCACGTTGCCTCAACTAAATAGATCTTCTTAACACACACTGTTTAAAAAGGTGTCACTAGTGAAGGGAATTCTGAGCAATAATCAAGAATCATGTGAAGTGATCAATGTAAATTCCAACATCTGCATCAATGTCTTCTGCTCATCAAAATCACTCCAAGATTATCTGTTCTCAGGGGATGAACTGCCTTCAACAAACCTCTGCTTGAGATTCTAAAGAAGGGGCCACTGATTTTCTGGATAAGGTTCAAGTCTATGGATTTAACAGCAGACATGTTTTAAATTTCTTTTCCTCATAAATTTAACAATCATCAAGAAACACACATTTCAATGTAAAAAGAAGAATAAACTGTGACATCTTATTGTTTTCATGTAAAAAGATAACTTATGGACCTCAGTACAGATTAATCATCTTCAATGAGGCTTCAGAGCACCCCAGAGTAATCTGTGCTTTTTCTGAGCATACATGCTTACTTTAAAGAGTAAAAATGATAAGCCATTATTTTGTTACTGCCTCTTAGCTTTACCAAGCATTACTAGCTGGGGCTATGTCAGGGGCTCAAAATTTGGGTGAAAAGAAACCTCAGTTCCCTAAGTCTGAAAGCCCAAGATCTGCCCCATGTAACAAATTCTAATAAAAAGGAGTGACTCTAAGCAATTAAAAAAAAAACCTTTGACTAATATTTCCTACAGATCATTTCTTAAACATTTCTAAACCTGGCAACAGTCCTCAGAACGATCTATGCTAAGCTTCACTCATAGGAAAGAAGACATTACTCTAATTTCTGTTGCCACCTGTGATACTTAACACGTTGCTTGATAATAAAAGTCTGCCACTTTGGAGGTGCTCCTAGAGTCAAACTTAGAGAATTAGATAAGTGGAGAATAATGATGTGAGTTGGAAAGCTGAGTGAGTTGGGGTAAAATCAAAAAATAAAAGGGCAATATTGGCTCATTAAGAAATGAATAGAATTCTGTGCATGATGGCTTTTTCAAAATGGGGGTGGGAGCATGTCAGCTTGGGGCAGAGTGATGTCAAATAAGACACAACTTGAAAAGCATTAACTTGGTCCTCTTCTGCCTAGGAGGCGTCGGCTGTGTTTACTCTATTATCTGGTTTTCTCTGGTTTACGATGACCCTATGGAACACCCATTTATAAGTGACAGTGAAAGAGAATACATTATTTCTTCATTGGCTGAACAGGTGTGTTAAAAATAACAGCTGGCTTGGGAAAAAGTCTTTGTATAAAATTTCTTAGATACTGATTTGGTATCCAAGACATGTGAACAACTAGCAAATATGTAAAATACCAAAAGTAATTTTCCAATAGATACGTGGTCCAGGGATATACATTAATGATACTCAAAAGACAAATTGCAAACTATTTATAGCTATGTAAAGAATGTTCTAAATTACTAATAATGAGAAAACTGCAAGTCAAAACAATGCTGAAGTCTTGCTTCACACCCAGAAATTGCCATATATGACAAAAGATGGGAATAGTTAGGGTTGAACGAGTTGTGAAATGATAAGCAAATTGGTGCATTGGTGACAGAGCTGTGAATTAGTACCACCATTTTGGCCAGCAATTTAGAATTATGTGAATTAAGTGACTAAACTGTCAATACCACTTGACCTAGAGATTCCACTATTAGGCATATACCTCAAGGAAGATGATGATGACCATTAAAGGGGCACGTACACCAAAGCATTTATAGGATTGCTTTTTGCAAAGAACTGGAAACAACAAAAATGTCCATGAATTGAGGAATAGCTAAACAAACCGTGACACAGGAATGTAAAGGCATAGGACAGAGCTGTAAGAAACGACATGTGTGATAAGTACAGAGAAGCATGAAAACAGCTACATGAACTGATTAGAGAGAAGTCGGCTGAGCCAAGAAAATAATATACAAAATGAATACAAGAATGGAAATGGAAAGAACAACCATTACAAAACTGCTGAAAGTTGGAAAGAGAGCTAAGAGCTTGTAAAAAGAGGAACAAAACTTTACCTGAACAACGAACTCAGTGAAAATTAAAATGGGCCCCAAATGGAAGATATGACTACACGAGACAACAAAAATGTTTGAAACAAAGCCAAAGGACCAAGACACTTGAAGAAATGTGACATACAGCAAAACAAATGACCAAAAACCAGAGGAGACAGAATTTAAGAAATGCAAGACTACCTGAACAGCACAACCAAGGTGCTAGCAATGAAGAAGTTTTCATGAGAAAACATTAGGAAATGTTTTTGTATAGAAAACTGGGAAAGCTCAACTGAACTCCAAAATTCTGAGGATTTGGCCCCAAGTCAAATCTAGAGTTGTTTTTAAGAGGTACTACAATATTTTTCAAAGTTTCAGCATATGAAAAGTTTCTATATATTCTTTATAGATGTTTTATTTATTCTGTTTACTCACCATCATTTCCTCTTCAATGAATGAATATGAGCAGTAGAGTTAGAACTGGTATAACAACACATAATAAAAATACAAACTAATATTGTAAACAATGGGGGGAAAGAGAAAAGTATATACACGGAGAAGAGGGCGGGCAAATAAAAAAATTACAATAAATGTCTCGGGCTTTCTTTTCCTCTGGCATATTACTTAATCTAAAGGGAGCACAAAATTAATATTAGAGACATCCATAGCATGATTTTCCACTGAAAATATGCCTTTGCTTTTATCACGTTATAGTCTTTCAAATATTCTGCACCTTAATACATTCTTTGTTTTCTAGCTATTTTATTGAAAGCTACTAGGAAAGCAAATACATAAAACCTGCTCTAATTTGATGAAAAGAATAGAAAAGTGAATGCTTCAGAATTACAAAGACCAAGTTTGGCCAAAGAAAAGATGTTGAGAAGACACCTCCCTCAACCCCACTGCAGAGATGAGAGGTGTACAACATGGCATTTTCAGACTTTTGCCATATACAGATCAGTTTTACTGATTTCTTTTTCTCGTGTTCCTATTTTTTTAAATTTTTTTTTTTTTTGTTATACAACAGGGCTCTCTGAAAAAGAAGAAGAAGAGAGATATGGGAGAAATTCAGGCAAAGTAAAAATAAAAATTATTGGCAAAAATTATTTTTAAAAAGAATGATAGCTTTTCCATAGTTTTTAATGCTTTACAAAGTAAATTTATATATCTCTATCTATCTATCTATCTATCTATCTATCTATCTATCTATCTATCTATTTATTTGTCAATCTATCTATGTATATCCTTACAACAAAGGTAAGGGTAGTAAGAAAACATTACTATCCCTATTTAACAGGTGAAAAAATGACTATAGCCCAATAAAATGAAGTGACTTATCGCAGGTCACACAGCTAATAAAGGACTGAGCTGTCTTGAACTCAAGTCTCCTGTAGCCACCTTCAATGTTGATTCCTCTAAATCATGCAATCAGAATTAAATGGCTCTGAGGGCTGTTCCTTAAGTTGCACCTATATTGGTCACAAGTGGTCAACACATCAGAAGCCATGAGAAAAATGCTCCAAATCACTAATAACAGAAAGGGAAATGAACACAATTAGAAGGATTGGACCTTACACCCATAAAATTCACTAAATAAATAAGGGATGAAAATAGCATATGTTGGAGGGACTGCAAAAAGAGAAACCCATAGGTGCACCATTTATTAGTTGAGCTCTGAATTGGCCCAACTGTTGTTGAAAATAATTTGGAATTATGTGAAAAAAAGTGATGAAAATATACAGAACTATTGAACTAATATTACTACAGCAAGGCATACATTCCAAAGGTCAAGGGAAGATGGAAAGCTTGGAATAGCAAAATATTGACAGTGCCATTTTTTCTTAGTAACAAAAACCTAGAAACAAAATTGCCTACTAATTGGAGAATGGCTAGACAATTATAAAAATGAACAAAATGGAATATCTTATTGTCATAAGTATTTCAAACTATGCAGAATTCTAAAAAAAAAAATACTCCAGAAGACTTGTTATCACCTGATGCAGAGCAAACAAAGCAGAACAGAGAACAATGCACACACTGGCCATGATAATGTAAAAAATCCAAGAGAGTATTGGAATTGGAATTAGGGCGAAGATCAGCCTTGACTCCAGAGCTGTAAGGATGAAACAAGATAAAGAAACAAATAAACAATAAATGGTGAAGTCTGGAAGTAGTATCAGGGTGCTTTACTTTTCTCCTCTCTGCTACAAGGGAGGAATCCATGGAGTCAGGAAAGTCATGTGAAGAGGTGACACAGGTGTTTGGGGGAAGGCAGAGGGAGAGGAAAAGTATCAAAACAATTTTTAAAAACTAAAAATGTTTGTGACAGCCTGACCAACGTATTGATAATTTGATTTTCCTTCTAGGCCAGTTCCCCTAATTGGTCTTTGCCTTTCAAAGCTATGATGAAGATTCTGGCAATTTGGGCCATTATAATAGCTAACATTTGTTGATTCTGGTTAACTAGCAACTTAACAATATCGCTGCCAACACTACTAGACAATATGTTTGATTTAAACTTTGAAAAGGTAAGTTCATAATTCCTGCCTACTCTTTATTTATCTAATGGATTTTTTAGTCAAACAAGCACTTATGATGTTCCAGGCACTGGTTAGGAACTGGGCATTCAAAGGAAAAAAAAAGACACAGTCCTTGCTGTCAAGCAACTTGCATTGTATTGGAGGAGACAATTATAAATAAATAAGAATATATGAAATAAATACTGGAGAAGTTAGGAGGAAGGGGACTAGTGGATGGAGGATCAGGAAAGGCTTCATATAGAAAATATCACATAACCAGAGGTTTAAAGGAAATGAGGGATTCTAAGAGGCAGAGATGAGGTGAAGAAGAGTATGTTTCAGGGATGAAGGAGACAGCCAGTGAAAAGGTACAGAGATGGTAGATTGAATGTTTGTACCATTCTTACATTTCTAACATTAACAACATTCTTATTTTTAAGGCAAAAAATCTTGTTTTGTGAGAAAACCAGGGAGGATCAAGATGGTAGTCCCAGAGACAAAAGTGTCAAATTGTCTGTGTTTTGTTTCCATGGCAGTAAGCCAGAAGAGAGGAGAGTAGGGCTTGAAGTATGGCGGTGGAAATGTTGAGTAGGGAGAAATGAATGTATACAAGATACACAACAGGGGTAGAAGTGATGAGATTGGGTGAGTGACTGTATATGTACAGTTCCTTATCTTGGTCACTGGGTTGATGTCACAATGGGAACATTCAGGAGAGGGTTGGGTTTAAGGGAAAGTTGAGTACTGTTTTGGATGTGTTGAATTTGAGATGCTTAAGTTAGATGTTCCAACAGTCAGTTTAAGATGCATAGCCAGAAAAAAAAATAAATGAATGAATGAATGAATAAACAAATAAGTTAATGAATGAACAAATAAATAAATGAATAAATGAATAAACAAATAAAGAAATAAATAAATGGAAAGATCCATGGCCAGAGCTTCAGAAAGACTCAAGGTGGATTATAGATCTGGGAGGTACTGGAGAAAGATGTATTTAAATCCATGAGAGCCAATTCAGTCACCATATCACTGAGTGTAAAGAGAGAAGAGAGCCCAGGACAAAGATTTAGGTCACACCTACAGTTATAAGGTGTGATGTAGAGGATGAAACAGCACCTGAGACTGAGAAGAAACAGTTCTACAAGTGGGAGGAAAGAAGTACTGGTACCATGAAAAGCCAAAGAGGAGCTAGGATCAGGTAGTTAATTGTCAAATGCTGAAGAGGTCAAGGATTATTTCAATTCTCAATAGATTCCCACACAGGCAACACACCTGACCTCTCTGAAACCATTGAAATCATTGAATAGTGGTTAGACAGGGCTCTTAAACCTGCACAGGGACTCTTAAGCGTTTCTGTGTCATGGACCCTTTGGGCAATTGGTCTGGTGAAACCTATGGGCCCCTTCTTGGAACAATGTTTTAAAATGTATGCATTTTGGCACTCCTGGCACATAGTAGGTTCTCAATAAATGTTGATTCGTTTACATAGGATCATAAACAGAACCAATATTATTGACATAGTTATCAAAATATTTTTTAAAAGTCCACCAATCTTAAATCTATAAATCTGATTTAGTACAAAATCCCCACTTAAAAAGAAAAAGAACATGAGCCCCAGAGGGGTAAAATTATGTACCCATGATTCCATAGTGATGTCAGAGCTAGGAACTAAATGAACCCAGCGTGCTTGGTTCCCAGTCCAATGTTATCTTTACTACTTCAAGTTATCTGTATGACGCTTCTTATAGCTCTCTCTCTCTCTCTCTCTCTCTCTCTCTCTCTCTCTCTCTCTCTCTCTCCCTCTCTTCAGGCAATGTGGGTAAGTAACTTGCTCAGGGTCACACAGCTAGTGAGTGTTATGTGTCTGAGATCAGATTGGAACTCAGGTCCTCCTCACTCCAAGGCCAGAGTTCTATCCACTCTGCCACCTAGCTGCCCCCTTATATCTCTCTTGGAATACAATGGTTGAAGTATAACCAAGGAGAACATACGTGGACTCTATAACATTTCAATTAAGGATTTTAGAGTATAGTCGGCAACATGTCTAAAAGCAGCCTCTATCTGAAACTATCTCCTCTGCTTACTGTGGGAGTGCCTGTGATTTAGGAATCACTCCTTTAGATTTTTTCCTAACATAAGCATCTGTAATTTCTTTAGATGCAAATTCCTTTGGGAAGGGTGAGATAGTAACTTGGTTACCAGTCATTGGAACCTTAGTGTAACTTAGTACTACAAATTAGCAATGAAGAAAGTACATGAGGTCCTTTTGGCAAAAATACTGGAGTGGTTTACCATTTCCTTCTCATTTTATAGATGGGGAACTGAGGCAAATGAGATTAACTGACTTGCTCAGGATCACACAGCTAGTAGGTGTCTGAGGCCACATTTGAACTCAGGAAGATGAATCTTCCTGAATCCAGACCCAGCGCTCTATCCTCTTTGCCACCTAGCTGCCCCAGGTTACCACTCAATTAGTTTAAGCACAATAACATAATGCTCTAACTCAAAAATAACTGCTCTATTCCAACCTCCTGTGCTGCTTTGCAACAGTTAGCTGATAAGAGAGAGCTGAAGAAATTGGAGTTTTGATGGAAGGAGCTAAAAGGAATAATTTCAGGTTGTATAGTCCTGATGCCATTTACTACCAATGTGGGATGTATGGGATGTTAAAGGAGGACCAGCACCTCTGGTGTGAGTTCTTGCTGAGCCTTCTTCAAGGCTACTCATCCATCTCTGGTATCGACTTGTTATCCAACTCTTCTCTCTAACATATACAGTGGTCACCCCGTGGTAAAACCATCTTGGCAAATAGGCTAAACCAGGTTGAGAATAACTGAGAGGTTTCAACCCACTGGTGGTAGGGAGATGTCTGCTCCAAGTATATAAAGACTTCCCCCAGTGGCATGGGCAGATGAGAACAATTTGTTGCAATGGCCACGAAGCCATCTGAAGCAAGCACTGTGTAGTACTTAGAGCCTGGTCAGACATAGAAGATGCCAAGGTCATTCACTGCATCCCAGACCATTGCCAGTCATCTTGGCTTTAGTCCTGCCACTAGACTTCAATGACTCAGGAGTAGAGAGTGAGACTGATGGCTTTTCCCAACTCTGCCACATTAAGTCCCATTTACACACAAGTCAAGACATCACCCATCATCCACTATTTTACCGCAATATCATGATGTCATTGGTCCTCTTTGAAAATGATAGATGAGCTACCTATGGGCTCTTGGGCCAGTCCCTTAAACCAATCTGGGCCTCAGTTTTTACATCTATAAAAAGAGGGGGTTGAATTAGATGAATGTTAATGACCCCCTGGCCATAAGTTTATGTACCTAAGGTAAAGGTTCTCTGCACTCTGAGTGCATGAGGGGATCTGTGTTTTCTCTGCACCAACAAGCAAAGATGTACACTTAAGAGAGAGACTGAATGAACCAAAGACAAATCTCATCTACTACTTTTGCCCAGCAGCCTGTCTCTGTGACCAGTTTAGATAACAGCGCAGGTTGCTGCTATGAACTAGTGAATGAATAGAACGCATGTTCACCTTACTCCATTCTGCACAATTTCTTCTCCATAGAATGGGTTTCTGAGTGCACTGCCTCTCATTACTTCATGGATCAGTATGACTCTGGGAAGTAAAATAGCTGATTTCCTCCTGTCCAAGAAGATTCTCAGGCTCATCACAGTTCATAAACTCTTCACATTTGTTTGTAAGGACAGTGTCATATATTCCACCATTTCAAGAGATTTCTTGCCATTTATTTCAAAAATGCGTTGACTAAATAATCATTTATTAAGCAGCCACTATGCACAATGTCCCATGTACTCAAGCTACAAAAATGAAGGGGGCAGCTAGATGGTAGAGTGGATAGAGCACTGGCCCTGGAGTTAAGAGGACCGGAGTTCAATTCTGGTCTCAGACACATAACACTCACTAGCTGTGTGACTCTGGACAAGTCACTCAACCCTAATTGACTCATTCAAAAAAAATACAAAAACAAGCAAAAACATAGTCACTGTCTTCAAAGCTTATTTTCTGATGGGAAAGACATCACGTGTATGCATTTTTGTGTACTTTTGCTCTCCAGGAATGTTTTTCCCATCTTTATTCACCATAGCTATCCCATATGTTGGCTCCACTACTGCTATAACCTTCATGATACTGGCTAGCTCAGCAAGAGCCCTGTATTACTCTGGATTCATCGTTAATCCCCTCGACTTTGCTCCCAGGTAAGATGCTCTGCCTTCTCTCTTCTCCCTCTGGCAGTGTGGAATTGTGGAAAGAGGCTGGATGCAAATCCCAACTCTACACCCACTGTGTGATATTGGGGGGAAAAGGAGGGGAAAACCAATAAGATATGGCAGCTTAGGGTGTAAGAGAATGAGGAGTGAATTATATATCTAAACCTGGAAGGATGATGATATGCTTACAAAAATAGGGAAAAACTAAGGTGGACAGTGCTAAAAATAGAGGAATTGAACCATGGGAGCTCATCTGTTAAGAAAGGGAGTAGAGAGGGAAAAGAAAAGGAGATTGAGAAGGAGTGGTCAGAAAGGAGAAGGAGACAGTAACCAGGAATAGGAAGTGGTCAAGAGTGTCCAAACCTACGAAGAAATCAAGTTAAGGTTAAAGAAAAAGTTAAAAATTCAGAAAAATCTCCTAGACTTGCAACTGAGAAATTCTTGATAACCCCGAGAAGACTTGTGGCCATTATGAGTGGTATTGGAAAGCAGACCGGAATTAATTTAGATGGGAGTGAGAAGTAAGAAAAAGGAGAGCAATGAGTGCAGTTGACCCTTTCTAGATATTTGGGTGCAAAAAAGAAGGGGAGAAACAAGAAAGAGTTTGAGGGAATAGCAGCATAATGGGAAAGACTTTTAAAGATGGGGGGGAAGGGAACCTAGGTATGTTTCTAGGCAGAAGGGAAGAACCAGTAGAGATGGCAAAACTGATCATCAGACATAATTCCAGAGGAAAAGGGAGAGAGAGCATCAAGGTCACAAGTAGAGGCATTGGCTTTGGTGAGGAGAAGGTGTGGTTCATTATCAGAGATGTGAGCAAAGGAGAAGAAGACAGTCAGTGATGTAGAGGGGGACTGAAAAATAGTAAAGGAAAGTGAGTGAATATGTGTGACAGACAAGTAGGAAGAATCAAAGGTGTGTTAGGTAATGAAACAATTATGAAGATAACCCAGCATTGGGCTTTGGCAGAGTACAAGCAGCTGTAGAACAAGGGAACAAGTCAACAAGCATTTACCAAGCCCCTCCTACATTTCAGGCACAGGAATAGGAGCTGGCCTTTCAAAGAACAGCAAAAACAGCCCCAACCCTCAGAGACAACATGAAAACAACTATCACAGATTTTATATATGTGTGTGTGTGTGTGTGTGTGATGTATATACATATATGTGTATATGTATATATATATGTGTGTGTGTATGTATATATGTGTGTGTGTGTGTGTGTGTGTGTATATATATATATATATATATATATATATATACAGGACAAATTAGAGAATAATCTCAGAGGGAAAACAGTAGTATTAAGAAGGAATCAGAAGAAGTTTCTTGCAGAAGGTAGGCTTCTAGGTGGAGTACAGTGTGTAGCTTCATATCAGTTTGAGATACAAAGATACTTGTTCAAATGCACTGAATTGAAGACAATATTCATAATGCGTGGGCATGAAGTTTCTTTACGATCAACAAGTCTTTGGTTTCTCTCATTGCATTTTCCTCATCAGTATTTCTCAACATACTTTTAACTGTCCTCTTCTGGTTCCATCTCTGTATTAGAGTCCTCAAGTATTGATACCTATGTTGATTTAATTTGGAAAGTATTATCCAATCCTTTATAGAATCCCTCTTTCATTTCACCCTTTGAACACAAGTTGGTATGGAAACTACATTTTTTATGGGACTCTTTTTTGTTATATAAATACTTAAATGGGCATGCAATATGAGACTACTAAATATCCCATGAAAACCTGTTTCTTGTAGCCATTAGATGTAAGATAAAATCAGCTGCACCATCCCCTTCATTTGTTTATCCCAGGAGAGCTTTGAAACCATTTTTCAGTTCAACTTCAACTTCTTTCTGTCTTCTGCCTTCATTTACAGAGAGGATGACAAGGTTGATACCATCCAATTCCTCCAACAGTATACCTATTTGGTTGGCTAGTGTACAAGGTTCTTACATGCAAGACAACAAAGGCTAAATTCATAGTTGATATACAAGTGCTGTGATTCTTAGCCCAACAATTCCCTTTTCTGCCACCCTGTCTCTGTCATTGCAAAAACTAAAAATGGCTACACTTAAGTGAGAACTATTTCCTATTTTTCTTTGTCTTTTTGGTTGCTGTGACCAAATATCTTCATGCAAATAGCTTGATAAAGAGGAGCCACTCCATATTTATGTCATATTTGCTCCTTAGGAAGTGAACTCCATCTATTGCCAGGATTTTACCCAGAGCCTTTCCAGCATAGCAGAACCAGGCAAACCACTCTCTGCTAGGATCGCCTTCAAAAACCCAGGCTCTCTCATGTGTTGCAATCTGTCTACAGAGTGTGACTGCAATGAGGCTTTTTAATCCCTTCCTCACATGGACTCCTTTGTATTCTTTGATATCTTCCACCCACTAATTGTGACATTGTGAATTATCATTTCATTTCTGCCAGCTACCCTTGTTTTAATGTAGGGCAAAGTCATCATTATATTTGGCTTCACAGATTAGGTTAAAGCACAAACTCAGTTTTGGTGATTTACAGGAAGTTGGTACTCAGAAAGTTAGTCCAAACACGAGATTTATTATTATGTGATGCAGTAAGAAGGCCAAAAGAGGGGGGTGGGTAAGCAAATACATTCATCACATGGCAATACAGACAGCCAAAGGTTTGGCCCCAAAGATGCAAAGAAACTCAACCAGCTCAAAGGAGAGGGAGATGTCTATGGACGCAAGGATCTGAGTTGGAATGCAGGTTTGGAGGGGAAGGTCTAAGTAAATAAGTTTTATAGCTTAAAAAAGGGTTTAGTTGAGAACAGGTAATCACAACACATGTAGTAGGAAATTCTCCAGGTCATTTATCAAAACCAGACTTGGGTAGAGTGAGTTTCTAAATCAGAAATTGGTCAAGGGTTTGAGTTGGTCATCAGAGACCCAGGAATAGATGTGGCTCTGCAGTCGGCCTTGGAGTCTCATGAATCAGGACTTGTGATTAACTGCTTGACATAGGATCAGAATAAGTCAGTGGAAAAGTAGAAGCTCTTGTCATTGCTTATATGTTTATGGTTTTTAGAACCACTCAGCCTAAGTGACTCTTTATTGGAGTTCTATCATTTATAACTACAACATCAAATAAACATTACATTTATCACGGTCATATTTGCTTTCATGATTGCTTGATAGTGAGGATAGCATGTAGATGGATCTTCAAAATTTGTGAAGCACTTTACAAATATTATTTCACCTTATCCTCATGACAGCCCTGGGAGGTGGGTGCTATAATTATCCCATTTACAGATGAGAAAACCAAGGCAGAGAAAGGGTAAGTGATTTGCCCAGGAACACACAGCTAACAAGTGTGTGGGGCAAGATCAGTTCAGGTGTTCTTGATTCTAAGTCCAGAATGCTATCCACTGTACCTTCTAGCTGCCTAATATCATACTGGTGATAATATGAAGACTATGGTTCACTAAAACCACCAGATCTTTTTCAGACAAACTTCTAACCACATCCACCACTTGTGTTCCTATAAAGTTGGTATTTCATATGCACGTATAACACTTTACATTTATCCCCTTTCATTTTCGTAGTATTCAATTTGGCCCAACAACACTATCTTTGAAGATTGTCTTTCTTTAATTTCCTAACTCTTGCATCCAGCCCCGCAGGTTTTGTTTTGGTTTGGGGGCAGGTGGTTTGGTAATTTTAAAAATTTTAAACTTACATACAAAACAAGAAAGGAAAAAAGAAACAAAACAATCTTAAATAAAACTGAAATGCAAAATAAGAAAAGAAAATTGCCATGTGCACAGCAGAACTTAAGAAAGGATTCAAAATATAAAGCAATAAATTTCCATTTCAAGAAAATCTATACAATAAATATCATGCATTGTGTTCACAGCTGTGCATCTCTTCTTTACCTCCATGTAGATTTTATTTTCTTCTCTGCTGTGAACTTTTCACTTTGTTCTTTTTCCCCCTTCCTCTCCCCCTTCCCCAAGAAGGCTACAATTAACATGCATATGTGTGTATACACACATACATACATATATGTACACATACACATACATACAAACATATCCATACATGTACACATGCGTACACTTACTCATCCATGTACATAGATATCTGTCTCACATATATACACATATATATTCATATGCATCTATGTAAGATTGAACTAACTTGTTTGTACTCTGTTTCTCTGAAGTTGGATAACATCTTCCTTCATAAATCTAAGTCTTTCCAATCTTTTCTGAATCCACTAACTCATCATTTCCTACACCGCAACAATATTCTAACCTTATACTGTCTTGTTACTTTAAATAGTCTAACAGAGCTGGGGAACCCACAGCCTTAAGGCCATATGTGACCTTCTAGGTCCTTAAGTGCATCCTTTGGGCTAAGCCTAAATTTTACTTCCTTTTAATAAAAGGATTTGTTCCATAAAATTTGGATTCACCCACCCCTGGACCAATATTGATTAATAAGGCTGACATATAGTGTAGTTGCCCTATTTTTCTCTTTTCATTAAGTCTATTTTAACTTTGACTTTGTCTGAGATTGTGATTACGAAACTTACTGTTTTTCCCTAATAAATTCTATTCCTGACTTTTATTTTATTCTATTTTATGCTTGCATGCGTCTCTTATTTTCCATCCCTCCTAACTTCTTTGCTTTTCTTCTAGCTGCTACCTTGCCCTGCTATTACTTAACCTATTCCCCCTCCATAGCACAAATCCCTCCCTTATGCTTTCCCCCCCTTTACACTTCCTCCCACCATTTCCCTTTGCCATCTTGTTTCTATCTGAATTTTGAAGACTTTTATAGCCTTCCAAAATATATGTTATTCCCTTTCTATCCCATTTCCATTAATGTAGGTACCCTTCTATATCCCCCTTATCCTATTCCCTCACCCTCTTATCTATTTACAAGTGTAAAAGACTTTTATTCCCTTCTAAATGAATACATTATTCTCTCTTTAACCCAGATCTAATGTGAGTAGGGT